TATGTTGATTTAAGGTTTATTATTTATAAATTGGAGTCTAAGGTGTTTGAGGATTGGTGTTTATATTCTATTTATGCATGTACAGATGTATGTACATATGTATATTAAATACTGTTTATTACAATATTTGACTATTTCACATATGATACACATATTGATATTTAGAGGATAGCTAAAAGAGGACTTTATTTTATATATGTATGTAAGTTATACACATAAGTATGTTTTCATTCAAATATTTACGTTAATAGTTTTAAAATATAACATACAATACAAATGTATGTATAATATTATATAAGCAATATTGAAATTTACAAATTTTATGTTGTTTGTTAGATTGTCTCAATGTGTCCAAAATGTGTATGTCTATGACATTATTTTACATATGTATGTACATATGTTTGTATGTATGTACGTATGAACATTATATTTTTTTCAGTGTGCTGCCGAATAATGCAATGCGCTGCAGCTGTGTGCATTGGAATGATGCTGCGACTGCGCTGTTGACGCCGACGTCGCAGCCATTCGGCGCAGGTAAACAACAGCACAGCAAGTGGTATGGGTTTATAAGAGTGTGGATGTGTGTGTGTTTGTTGTCTTGGCATTGGCATGCCGTTTCGTTGTTGTTTTCATCAGTTTTATAGTTGTCTTCTATTTTGGGTTTTTGTATTGCGTGGGTTTTTTTCTCAATTGCATTTTTGGGCGCGCTCTCAGCGTCTATGTTGACGTCGACGTCGACAGCACGACGACTGTTCAATGTGTGCGTTTGTGTGACCGAATACCAGGATAGGCAATTCTTGATTATTGTCTCTGTCGTTGTTGTTGCTGTCGTTAGGCTAGCTTAAACATGTCGCTGCCTGCTTGTCAGTCAGTCAATTTGTCCACTATTTCGTTTTCTTTTCGCATGCCGTTTGCATTCCACAGCGTCAACTTTGCTGCTGCTGCTGTTGTTGTTGCGATCGGTGCCACTTTTGGCTTGTTGTTGTCGTTGCCACTAGGTTATTATGTATGCGATGGGGGCATTTAATTCACATTTTAGCACAAATTATTAAATATTTGACAGCAGCAGCAACAACAATGGCAAAGGCAACGATAACGAAAGTGAGAGCTAAGTGAAAAGACTTCCGCTGGCGATTGCCGAAAGAATCGCTAATTTATGCGATTATTGGTAAGGCAAGAAAAAAAATTAAATGAAGAGCAGAAAAAACAATTCGGCTGCCCTGTCGCCGCGTTTTTGTAATTTTCATAACTTTGCATTGTTTGGCCAATGGACAAACACAGAAAACGTGTTCGCAGCTGCGCTTGACGCAGTGAAAGTAACAGGTGACCGCAACGGTCAGCGCCGAAAACGTCGCGACGCGTCGCTGTCAACGCCTCCAACAACGACGCATCCAACATATGCGCACTCATATACACACACACATGTACAGAAATACATATGTATGTATGTAAGTTTGTTTGTGTGCATAGTTGACCCACAGCGAAGACCCTTGCGCACGAAAGTCGCCAAAGCGCGTGTGAAAGAGATAAAGTCGACGTCAGCTGTGCTTTACAGTTAAATTTCTATAACTTTCAGGCGAATGCTGTAAAAGTAAACATAAAAACAACAACGAAATGTTTAATTAGCATGATATGGCAATTTTAAAGTCCAAGGGTTTTGGGTTGAATGAAAATGCATTACAGATTGACAGTCAATAGCAATATATTTATACGGTGTGCACAGTTATCCACCATACAGATACATATAAATGTATACAAATATTTGACTTTGTCTGCGTTGTCGTAAGTAGCAGTTATGAAGATTTCAGTTTAAATGGAAATGCAAATAGGCGCGGCTATTTGTCGAGCAGTGTTTGAAAGCGCTAAATCATTGCAATACTAATGAAGACTGTGTGTAGCATACTTTTTAGCGATACATCGATAAGTGTGTGTGAGGCTGTTATCGAATTTCAATCGTAAATATTGCGAATACGTAGTTTCAAATAAAACAAGCGCAGATTTTCAGTAATTATAAAATGTGGCTACTAAATAGACACTGTAGCATCGTTATTTACTTGCGAATGAGTTACGAAAACATGAGCAAATGGAGCATGCTAGCAAGCTGAGAAAAATCTGCACGCGCCAGAATGGCAGATTCAGTGGAACAATGCAGAGCTGTAAATTACGGAAAATGGATGGCCAAGCTGCTGTAGTTGGATGACCTAAGGAGCAGCAGCAGCCACAGCAGCAGAGACAGCGAACAACCGGTAAGCTAATATATTCTTTTACGAACTCTAATCTGAAGGTTGTTTGGCCAGATGGGCTCATCATGATATCGCTAGAGCAGGAGCCGCGAGCTTCATCTGGAATTTCTTGATCTACTTCACCGCAATGACTGCAAAAAGTCCGAAAGCACACTAAACGAAAGTACATAATCTAGCCAAACAGAAACCAGGCAAGAAAACCTCGGGTATTCCAAACTCATTGGCAAGGGAGGACCGCAACAATATATACAAAATTCTAGATCTCTTAGGTTGTATTTTATGTTTATATTCTATTCTATGCTATTCGATGATCGAAGTACTATTTAACTATCTACATATAAAGAAGGATCCATTTCTCTCTAAGATGCCAATCGAAGAAACCCATTTAAATTATTTAAATTAAAAAAAAACTAGATTGCCTGCATACAAGTATGTCGAAAGAGAATGAATTATCACATATTTTTGGTATAGGGCTAGGAAAAAATAAGATGAATGGGCAACCAATAGGCTTATCAATTTGATTAAATTGGTTTAGAAGATACTCAGATAATAGAGGGACAATTCGTTCCATTAACACAAAAAAGAAAAGAGATATAGATATGTGTCTTAAATGTTGATAGCCGAATATAATATACCCTGTTAGGCATAGAAATAATATGAGATATAATCGAGGATGCTTTAGAAGAGACATTGACACTACAAAATTAAAAGAATAATATAGAGCAATAATTTCTTTTTAAACAAGCAAATTTCTATTAGCATTCAAAAACTAAATCAAGTATTTCTTATACAATATATTGCTTATGGCATATAATAATAGAATATTATTATATTACTTGCATAATAATAGATTAAAACTATTATAATAGTCTAAATATTATTATATTATAAGTATATTCATTTACAAATACTTATAATACCATTTATTAATCAGCTATAACGGATAAAAGTTTTATGTCTGTATTTGATTATTTAATATGATCTGGATTTATTAATTAAAATTAATTTTGTTGGCTCATCTGATTAGATAAATCTGAACAAAATCGAGAAAAATCATTTTAAAAAACTTGAACAAATTAAAGTCTACCTGTGCAATAATATTATAATTATTAGTAATATTTTATTATTATATACTATTTATTATTATTATTATTATTATTTTTATTATATTAATTAGTATTATTTATTATTAGTAATATTGTATTGTTGTTGTTATTATAATTATAAATAAAAAATATTAATTAGTATTATTTATTATTAGTAATATTGTATTTTGTTATTATAATTATAAATATTTTTATTATTATTATTATTATATTAATTAGTATCATATATTATTAGAATTATTTTCTTATTATAATTATAGATATTATTATTATTATTATTATTATATTAATTACTATTATTTATTATTATAATTATTTTTTTATTATAATTATATATTATTATTATTATTACATTAATATTTAGTTGGTTCTCCTTTGGCAGCAATAATATTGATGAGTGTATGGAGTGTACTTAGACCTTTCTTTGCCGACTCCGCATAATAAATGGAATCGAAACGTGGGTCGTCTTTGAATATTTCAAATTGTGTGAATATATAGGAATGCCCTGGCGTTACCCTAATGGCATACCCATTGATTGGCAGCCGTTGCAGTAGCTGACGACTCTGGCCTAGTCCGAGTGGCTGCTCAGTGGAGCGGCAGTTGCTTTGCTTAGCTGCCAGTGTAAACATTGATATGGGTGCAAATGGATGTGGGCTACTCGCTGCGTACACTGGCAGTGAGTGCGTGAGAGAGAGAGAGAGAGAATGAGAGAGGGAGAGAATGGGAGAAAGAGGAAGCAAGGTTGGCTGAAGGCACAGTGCAATGCCATAGAGAGGCAGAGAGAGAATCGCAAAGATATTCAGAGACCCCTCTCTGGAAATGGGAGAGAGAGAGAGCGAGGGCGCCATAGAGAGACAGAGAGACAATTGCAAAGACAATGAGAGTTGGGAAGAGTGGGAGGGTGATAGAGGGGGCGAGGGTGGCTGGAGGGAGAGTGCAATGCCATAGAGAGACAGAGAGACGATCGCGAAGAGAATGAGAGTGGGGGAGAGAGGGCGAATGATGGGGCGAGTATGGCTGGAGGGACAGAGAGACGATTACAAAGAGAGACTAAGAGAATGGGTGGTTGATAGAGGGGGCGAGGGTGGCTGAAGCGACAGTGCAATGCCGATCGCGAACGGCGCCAGTTAACTGTTTAGCGCTTTATCGCCAATTTGCTGCAGCTGCCCAATCAACGTCGCCGTCGCCGTCGTCGTCGCCGTCGCCCTTGCTGTCGCTCTCACAGTGGCCGTCGCAGTTCTGTTCATGCAGAGCTCTGTTGGATTCATTTGAGCATTTGTTTTGGTGCGTTTTTATTATACATACATATATTGTGTGTATTTTTTATTTTATGTTTTATCTTATCAGGCCGCTGGCGAGCGAGCGTTGGTGATAAGACGGCGCAGAGCACTAAAGGAATTTCAATAGTTCGATTCGAGTGGGGAGAGCGCGCTGAAATCCGAGCTGCATGTGAATGGAAATGTTGCCCGATCCCACTGCGTCATAGTTTCGCCAACTGGAGAGCAGCACGGACTAACGGGCCGACGGACGGACGGTCAGCGCATTCGACCGAAGGACCGGGCAGAGTTTGCGGTCACCAGCAACAGCAAAGCAGCAGAAGAGGAGGAGACAGAGGCAGAGACAGAGACAGAATAGAAGGCGAACCGAGCGAGAACAAACGCATTGCGCACAGTGGGGCAAGCTATGCGAATTGGAGAACTGAGAGCTAACGGAAATTGGCACTTGGCGGCGGAGTAAACAGCAGAGGTAACAGTGATATCTAGCTAGAGTGAACCACTATTTGAAGTAGAACCTTACAAAGAGTAGTTATTTTAGATTACAAAAAATGAAAAAAAAAAAATGAGTAACTGATTAAATGAATTGTAAGTAAACATTTATTGTTAAACGTTTATTGTTAATTTAGATGTTGATATTGGGTTAACCATTAAGTATTTTGCTACATTTAGTTCTGAGTCGCACTACTATATTTATGTATGTATGAGTTCTATATAAGCAATTACGAATAGATTTCATAACTGAAGCCGTTTGATAGCAATTATTTCAAGTGAAACTAAGAGATTACCAATGTGAGATCTGAAATGTGAATGAAATATGCAGTATGTGTAATATGTGCATATCCATATTTTAGGCAAAAGATAATGAAAACGTCATTGGGGCGGATATCATTGAACAAGCCTTCGATTTAGTCAGTCTTCACTTAAGGCAGCGGGCGAACAATGAAGCACTTTATATGCACTTTGTATGTATGTATATACATACATATGTACATACATATATAAATATATATCTATAACTACATGTTGTCTCTCTTTTTCACGTAGTTCGCACCACGGCGCTCGCATCGCTGACGTCATCGACGCGCTCGGCAAAGGCAAAGTCGAAGCAGCAGCGGAAGGAGTGCATAAGCTGAGGCAGAGCGAGGGAGAGGACAGCGAGCGTGAGAGCGGGAGCGGGAGAGGGAGAGGGGCAGTCACTGTCACAGTTGCCCGCACAACAGAAGCAACAACAGACGCAGCTACTACGATAAGCCGCCAAGCTGAGAGCATCGCAGCATCGGCGCTCACGAGTCGAGCTCGAATTGCAAGTGGAAGCCGAAGTCGAAGTCGAAGTCGAAGTCGAAGTCGAACTGAAGCTCGGATAAGGCAGTGCAATGGAGGCAAGGGCGAGCGCTAGGCCAGTGACGCCCGGAACACCGGACTCGGCGCACTTGATGATTGGCGCAGCTGGCTACGTGGCCCACGAGCGGAGGCACCAGCCCAAGCGACTGATGAACTGTTTTCGAGATCGTTCGACCTCCACGTCGTCGTCGTCGTCGCCCTCGACGGCTGCGCACTATGGGCGCGCGCACAGCTCCACATCGGCGGCGCTGCTGCGGCTGGAGGCGGGCGCGGGCTCGAACTGTACGCTGGATCAGGCGGGCCTCGCCGTCGGCGCTGGTCGCCCGGAGGCCGTCGTCCTGCTACGCGAGCTGCGCACCAAGCCGAACAAATTGACGCTGCTGAAGAGCAGCAGCACGCGAGATCTGACACGGCTGCTGCTGGACGAGTCGTCGGCGGGCACGACAGCGGTGCTCGTGTCCAATGGCAGCCTGGACGTGTGCTCCTCCGGCAACTCCTCGGCGGGCAGTCCGCGCAACGGCAGCCGCGAGTGCTGCTCGGTGTGCGGCAAGCGCTGGCAGCATCTAAAGCAGCGCATGCACACGCTGGAGCAGGATCTGCAGGCGCAGACGAGCTACAGCCAGGAGCTGGAGCAGAAGCTGGCCGAGATGAGTCGCCAGCTGACAGAGCTGCAGCAGCATCAGCAGCAGCAGGAGAAGCGACTAGCGGCAGCCGCTGCAACTGCAGCTGCACCGCCAGCAGGAGTACCTGGCAAACGGCAGGGCGGCACACCTGTCCGCCCCTCCCGGCTGGTCGCCTGGATGAACCTGGCCAACTGGTGGAAGAGCCGGCCCAGCGTGGAGACGCTGCGCGAGCAGCGCATCTTCTTCGACGAGCCCTGCTTCGACACGGAACTGGAGCTGGTGCTCAAGCACGAGCATCATCGCACCGTTCCACGCATTGTGATCGACTGCTGTGACCTGATCGAGCAGAAGTATCGACGCTCCGCCCAGCCCGTGGAGGGCATCTATCGGCAGTGCGGCGACTACAATAAGATCCAAACGCTGCGCTTCAACATCGATGCCAACGACTACGATGCACTGCGTCAGCCCAACGTCGACATACACACACTCACCGGCGTACTAAAGCTATTTCTGCGCGAGATCAAGAGCCCTCTGATCAGTGTCAACGAGGCCAAAACCTTTATTGGCCCGCCCAATCAGTGGCGTAAGTGGCAGCTAATACTTCTCCTAATCCCCCTCTCTCTCTCTTTCTCTCTCACACCATTTTGATCTTCGCTTGCAGTGCTCACCGATCTGAACCAGAAGCTGGAGATACTCAAGAGACTGATGCGCTCGCTGCCGGAGATCAATCGCGACACCTTGGACTATCTCTTTGGCCACTTCAATCGGTGAGTTCAGATCTAGAAACGCCTTAGAGCAGCTCTACAAAGCCCCAGATCGTTCACAAAATAGCCTTTATTATAGAATTCCATTTCTTGGCATATTTTTAGACAATATACCAAATAGGGTCTTCCATCTAATCGGGATAGGATAGGTTATTTTCTAAAATTCACTAAGCTTCGATGCAAAGAATGTTTAGATATAAACTAGGTGGACTTTGCCTTCTAATGACCTTCATAGCTTCAAACTTATGCAGAATTATGGGAGGAATCGTCTCATATACGTTCTTTCTTGAAACCTATTTACCTAGACAACTGATAAAAAAGTCAAATATGATATAAGGTACAAAAATTCGTTCAATCTTTCTCCAATGTACAAAGCGGCTCACTTGAATAGGTTTGACATTTTTCAAGTTTTGTAAAAGTTATATCTCGTGAACCATTACCCCGATTTTAATTAAATAACTTTTGCTATATTGCAAAATTGATGAGCTCTGAGTTTTTATCCAATAATTCCCTAGATAAGCTCTTGGTATGCCTAATAATAAAATAAATGTGGATGTATTGCCAAATTCATAGGCTATGAGTTATTAGCTAGTAAATCCTTAGGTAAGCGCTTGGTACGTTTAGGCATACCTCACATAGTCCCCACACTGTTGAAAAGGCATCTTTGATTGACTATCTATCTCCTTATCTCTCTCTCTCTCACACCCAGATTGACCAAGGTGCCGCTGCAGCAAATAAGCGCCGAAACGCTATCGATATCGATAACACCATCGATATTTCACACTGTGCCACAGGGCGTGCACATGAATGACATACAGGCGCTGCTTCGCGAAGGCGAAACTCTGGCCGACTGCGTGAACCTGATGATCGAGTACCATGCGCGCATATTCGAGTAAGTGGAGCGTCTCCAGCGGCAGCTAAGCCTAATCCAAAGCTCGCTTCCCAAAAAGCTTTTGTACATGTGGTGCTGGTGTTCGTGTTCTTGGTATTGGTATCCCTCGCAGTTCCCAAACCCCCGCGGCGTTCAAGGCTGCTCCGATGCTTTCGATCCTAAAGTTGCTTCGCACTCGAACGTTGCTAATTCAATAAACCGAAATTGCAAACCAAACCAACTCCAATCCCCATCCCAATCCTTGCTCCTGTCCCTGCTCCGCATCGCTCCCACTGCTTCTACTCTCTACCACAGATGCACGGCCGATCGAGGATTAAAGCGTCTCAGCGTGCGAAATCTGAAGAAGACGCTCTCCCAGCCGGATTTACTATTTCATAATATATTCTGATAAACCAATTAACCGGACACTTTGAGCTTAACGTGACCCCAAATACGTTAAACGTATAACAATTATTGTAAATATTCCACATATGATTTTATATACTGTAAATATTCGTAATATATATATACATAAATATATGCTGATAAATATTATTTTAAGAAATCTGTAATTTTATTTAATTAATACTAGTCGAGTCTCTCTCTCTCTCTCTCTCTCTCTCACACACACACTATCTGTCTCATTTTCGCTAAAGACTAAAGTAGAACACTTTGTATAACACTTGATGCATGAGCAGAGCTGGTAATTCCTCCAAAATCAAACGTGCTACCACTAATAATCCAAGTATATCACAGTCCAGGCAGTATAACAGTTAGCGATAAGAGTGTCTTAAAGAAGTATGCCAGTCTGCAGCACCTTAAAAGATAAACTGTATTAAATGCTTGCTATAAATATGCAAAAATAATATACTTGCAAGTAAATCGACAGCATAAGAGCAGAGAGAGAGAGAGAGACAGAGACCGAACAGAGATAGCAACAAGGAGAGAGGCTATCTCAGCTGCCTTGCCTTGAGTAAATGACATGCAATACAATTGTTTTCTCTCTATATATATATAGTTTATATATTGTATATTTTGATATAAATATTTAATTTTAAACAGCTGCACATGGGTGATTTTCATACGATGTTTGTGGGAAGAAACTCTGATTTCTTTTCTTTTAATATATTCGTACAGTCTACGCGTCTCTAAAAACTAAGTACCATCATACAGTTATTAAAATACCAACTGGTTTTACAGTGCTTAGCTAGTAGCTACATATATGTATTGTATTATATGTGTATATGTGAATCAAATTATATAATGTGTGTGTATGCAATACTTTTTCTGATTTGATTCGGTTTGACTTGTTCAGCTTTAACATTAACTATAGCTATTAAATAATATATCATATGTATAAGTATATATATATCTATGAATGTGTGGTATTATATTTGTATTGTTACCAGAGGGTTGTACATGTTATTGTTTGAATATATGTATGTATACCTATATGTATATATATATTTTAATATATATCTCATGATTAATTGTTTCGGGGCATTCAATTTAAAAATAATAATGACAAACATTCGTTTTACGATCACAATGCTGGGTCTAATTTATATTAGTATGATTTGTATGTATGTATATAGATATTTATATATGTGTTTTTGTTTGTATGCATGTTTGTTTGACTCAGATATAACAATGGGGGGTGTACATATATATTTATTAGACATACACATACACGAAATTAGATACATATCAAAGGCACAGGAATCTATACACACATATGGGTCTGAGGTCTTTTTAAGCAAATATAATTATTATTATCATATCAATCGAATCGTATCGAATTGAACCGAATGCTAATCGAACTGATGATTATACAAATGTGAGTGATATATGTATATTCGTGCTATTCCTTCACATACAAGTCTAAGTACATTTCGTTTTTAGTATTATCCAATTGAAACATTTGATTTGTATTAGATTTACGCGTTCTTGCTTTTATTATTGCCGCTATTTGAACTACTTGAAGAATGGATTCTTGGATGCCGATGATTTCATGGTGCATAAGATTTGACGTTCCAGCTGAAAGTCATAGTCAAGCGTTTTTAACAGCGTTGAGATTTCGGGCAGTGTGGGCAACTATCAAATGAGTGAATAAACAACAATATATTTAATACAATGTACATATATACATGTAAATATATTTAAGACTTACTTCAGTCATGGGCTGGCTGCGCTGCAGCATCGCATGCATGGCAAAGGGCACGCCCTCCAGCTCTGTATAGGTGCCCAGAGTGCCAATGCCAAAGTAGTTAGAGCGTCCAGTGTTTCCATTAGCGGCTGCTGCTGCTGCTCCTCCCCCTGTTCCAACTCCTGTGCCACCGCCCATTGACGCCGGGCGTGGCGGGGCTGGTCTCTGTGGCGAATTGATTTGATAGTGTGCCTGTATCTCCTCATAGTCATGGTGCTCATTCGAGGCAGGCAACTGCGGCAGCTGAAAGTACAAGCAATTCAATCAGATCGATTATATAGACTAGAGACTAAGTAAGGTCTAGGTCTATTGCTTTGATTTGTTATTTCTATTCATTAGCTAATCACACTACTAAGCACAAGAATTCATGGCAATGCCTCAGCAGCATTAATCATTGCTTAAGAAATGAATGTAGTCCTCCTGAATATTCAGCACTTTACTAAGGAGCTAATTTACTTTAGCTAAATTAATTTAAGGCAATTCGCGGAGTCATTCGAAGTCTTTAAGCTCTTAACAGTTAATTAATGAAACAGTCTAACTAATAATAGTGGGTACTAAGCTAGCATAGTATAAATATAGTTTACATTCTAGTAAGATCTTTAGTCTATTACGTATTAGATATGTCTGACAGGAATTCTAGATTCTAGATAGAGGATCAAATTGAGTTGCCGACTAGAGCTAGATCTAGGGTTCCGAATAGAATGGGTTTACAACAAACTACACCTAAGATAGCAGGAACCAAGCTATACGATTAACCCAAGAAATCTCTGCACATAATCCCTATGCCGTGCATAGCGCATCTTCTACAGAGTTGAGTTATCCACAAATGAGTTCCATACTCAACTAAAGGCAACTGGACAGCTAAAAGTCCAGTCTTTGTACAGCTGACAAGGTCGTAGTGCTATCTATCAATACCAGTGTGTATCCATATCAGTGCACTCACCGGGCCACGTGCTGCTGTGCGCTGGCCATGCAAATTGAGACGATTCAGTGCCTGCTCCACCTCGCAGCTGCTGCCTGGCACAGGCGGGGGCAGGCGCACGGGAATGGCACCAGTTTTATAACAGACTAGGACACCGTTGATATCGCCGGCTAGCTTGAATCCATCGGGCGCGATTTTCAGCTTGGAGCAGAGTATAATATCTGTAACCGCCTGGGTGACGGTGCCGCGTTTGGACAATTTATAGGCGATTTGACGCTTCCGCCACGCCTTCTGATCGGTGTCGGCGGTGCGAGAGAGCAGCGAGAACTCTTTCGGCGGCGGCACCTTCTCGGCGATGACTCTACAAGTGGGAATCGAATGGATTAGCTTGACACGTATGCTCGCCATTGGTCATTATCAGGACCAGCACTTACTTGAGCGTCTCGACAACGTATTCGGGCAGTCCCTCGGATTTGGATAGGCACAGATAGCGTGTCGTTTGGCGTCCAAAGATTATATTGTTTTCACGCCACAGATCCGCGTCAGCATCCTGATCGTATGTCCGATGTATGGCATTAAAGTTCTTAGGGCAACTAAGAGAAAAGAAAGACATCAATTGATTATAATTGAGGCTACGAGTTGCTCGCTTAATGGGCGAGTTAAGGCGAGACAACGGGTTCAAGAGTTCAAATTGTGCATTCCCAGAGCGATGCACAGTAGTTCAAAGAACTAGTTCAGTTCACACTTAGAACTGTGTAAGGTGTGTCTGATTATAGTATATATTTTATATATGTCTAAATATGATATATAAGTATTCTTCGCTAGTGAATATAATGGTAAAAGATAAAATATGAAATAATAGGGTATACTACATACTATTTTACCCAGTTATATATTATGTTTGGGCTATCTATCAACTCTTAGCATTGTTACTACTATGCGAGCTATTAAAACACGTAATTGTACATATAATTTGACTTTGACCGGAAGAGCAGTCGAGTTTCACATGACCTAGATTACATAAAAGCCGACATATACTGTATAGTCTACAGATTTATAGCTGAAACACACCAAATGACCTCGTCTATTGATTTGATATTGTATAACAATACATCGCAAATAGGAAAAAGATATATGTATATACATATCATTAACAGTTAGAGATCTCTATATGATCACTATTGAACTCTTAGAACTTCTAAGAAATACAGTGAAATCCGGTTAGAGCGACGCTCCAGAACTGGAAGACGCTATAACCATATGAGTTTACTCATATAAGTTTGTCTAGGAATCTGAATTTTCGTCGCAATAACCGTATGGATGTCATAAGAGGAGTCGTTATAACCGGATTCCATAGTATATATATATATTTTATATGATCCATTATATTTATATTTTATATTCCCGTATTATATTTTGCATTTTTGCGTTTGTATTTATATTCATATTATTTTTCTGCATTTGACCCACTTTGTTCGATTAAATACATATACGCAACTGCGAACACATTTCGTAATACTTATTTATTGATTGGAATGCCTTCACTTACCGCTCAAAGTCCTCGACAATGTGCAGCGAGGTGATTGGCCGATTGTCCGGCAGGAAGCTCATAATGGAGTTGAACACATTTTTGGGGCTGGTGGCCGAGCCGTTCGCAGTGGCCGTTGCCATGGCCGTGGGTCCAGCAGTGGGCGCAAGCAGACCGTTGGAGGCGTGACCGATAGCCAAAGCTGGGCCAGCGCTCTGGAATTTCTTGCCGGCCTTGTTCATGTCCAGGCGGCTGTTCTTGCTCAAATCCCCAAATCAATCCTGGCCCCAGTGGCTGCTGCTGCTGCTGCTGCTGGTTCGCTCTGAGCTCTGTGAATAGAGGCAAAAATAGCTACGTTTATACACACACACACACACACACACTATATAGTATAGTATATCTATACAATAAATAAATTGATAGATTTCAATACGTATTTGTGCTGCTGTCACATTACTCATACGGCCTGTAGCCGTAGCCAACTTCTCTCACATACTTTTTAGCCAACAACATTTGCAGTTAGTTACGGGCATTTCCCCAACTCTGATTCATACGTTAATCGAATCGGACAGCAACAAGCGTTGCCTTTAGCGGCCCCCACCTTGCGACTGGCTCTCTTTTTTCGCATACTCAAATAAAAAATATTTAAAGTAAATAACTTTTCTTTGTACTTACGCTGAAATTTCTCTTTTACGCACACACACACACACACACACACACTCAGAGAAGGGCGCACACATGGTCGCAATTCGGTCAGCGGAACGAAAACAAATAAACAAATGCTTTATCGGCCTTAAGTGCACACTTTTGAATACCCTAACCCACGCTGAGTGCTCCGAGCTGTTCCCAATACTTCCGATTTGTCAGCAAGTTGAATT